TAAGTAACCTACTGTATGTCCAAGTCTTCAGGAAGATGACAATACTCAGGTTGACAAGCTACTATAAGTAACCTACTGTATGTCCAAGTCTTCAGGAAGATGACAATACTCAGGTTGACAAGCTACTATAAGTAACCTACTGTATGTCCAAGTCTTCAGGAAGATGACAATACTCAGGTTGACAAGCTACTATAAGTGATCTGTGTTCAAATGTTCAAGAACACAAGCACAAGATGATTAGGATATTTTCCTTAAGGTCAAAGTGTATTTTTTCTTCATACGTACAGCGGACTGTAACAGATAAAATTGAATTGACTTTTAAAGTTAAGTTTACAAGTCACGAGTTTATTCGATAAAATAGTTTAGTCATGTGTTGGTTTGACCGTGTTATTGAAGTAAATTATATTAAAATTACAGAATATACGTGAGTATTTCAAATATATATTACAACCTTTGATTTCTTTATCTTACTTTGGGTGTGAATTGACTCTGTGGTAGAGTTCTGGACATTTTGGAGCTGGTGAGTTGGGTTGGAATCGTTTTTGGAGCTGGTAAGTTGGGATAGAATCCGTGTGACAACACAAAAAATCATGCGCATTTTAATCTGTGGGTGAGATGTAAGAGTGGCTGCCATCCCTTCTAGGCAGTAGTTCAAAGTTAAGGACGGAGGATGATAACCTTAGTAGCTATAACAAATACAAATACAAAAAAAATTAACCTTACATTTTTTTCCTTGTGTGTATACATTGTTTATTTTAGCCCAGTTAAGAAAAGACCAACTCCAACAGTGTAAACAGATGGAAGTGAATTAGAGCTTTAGGAATACTAAATAATAGCACTATTTAAAGCTTTGCTGGAGTAAATGTGGAGACACGAAATAGTCTTTGAAAATCCATTTAACGAGTACCTTGATTCTAAGCCTTTCTTTTCTATATATTATAAACATAAACTACAAAATCATATATTAAGCTTGTGTATAATCTTGGTCATCATAATATGATTTCACTGAGCGAGAATCTAAATCACTTGTTGTTTACCATGGTATTGCTGAACCAGTTCAAATGGCTTAACTTGCTGTTGCTAAATCAGTTCGAATGTTTAACTTGCTGTTGCTGAACCAGTTCAAATGGCTTAACTTGCTGTTGCTGAAATCAGTTAAAATGTTTAACTTGCTGTTGCTGGAACAAATTCAAATGGTTTAACTTGCTCTTGCTGAACCAGTTCAAATGGTTTAACTTGCTGTTGCTGAACCACTTCAAATGGTTTAACTTGCTGTTGCTAAATCAGTTCGAATGTTTAACTTGCTGCTGCTGAACCAGTTCAAATGGCTTAACTTGATGTTGCTGAAATCAGTTAAAATGGTTAACTTGCTGTTGTCGGAACAAATTCAAATGGTTTAACTTGTTGCTGAAATCAGTTAAAATGTTTAACTTGCTCTTGCTGAACTGGTTCAAATGGTTTAACTTTCTGGAGGCGTAGGGTAGCCCTGTGGGAGAGCTCTGGATTTCGAAACTGTCGAGTCGAGTTCGAGTTCGTGCGATACTACAAAATATCCGCCGTACTTTAAGCTGTGGGTGCGTTATAAGAGTAGCGGGCAATCTCTTAGCATGGACTATGTGTGCAGCTAAGGTGGCCCAACGGTCGTAAGCGGAACTAAAAAAACAACAACAGTCGCTCACTACTTTCTTAACATCAGGAATATTTATCATCCTTGCATCTAATTATTTAATAAGGTGTATTCGCCTTTTATAGCTTTAATAGGGCAAATAAATACATCACCGCTTTCAATTTCAGTCTGTGTTAAAATGTTTATAAATGTGTATAAACAATAATAAGAAAGCAAATCTCAGGTCGAATGCCTTCATCTCTCACACAACAACGTGGCTTTTTCCCTGTTTTGTTTTTTCATGATATATCCTCTCAGATTTGAACCTAAAACCTCTCGGATAGTAGGTGAGGGCGCTACCATCTGTGCTCTAGTGATTGCTACTAACACTTTTTAACTACTCAAATTATTACTCGCCTGATATTAGTCCTAGTATTTTATTTTTATAAAAGAATATCTTTTCACCACTTGCCTTATATCTAAGAAAAATGTATAAATTATATAATTAATACCTGAAATCGTCGGTAGGTGGCGAAACTCCATAACTACAGGATTGAAGAAAAAAAGGCAGCTGTACGTTTCACAATATATCCTTGGTGCTTCATATATAAATACCATTTTAGGCTTGTGAGTTGTGGTATTGAACGATACAGAGATAAAAAAATAGATATGAAATGCTATATTTACACACTTCTCATTGATAATAATCCACAGCCTAACGTAAGAATTCTATCACGAATGCTAGGTTTGCTTAATTCCAATTTTTCGTCAACTTTCAGCGTTAAAACTGTCACGTTTAAGATATATGAATATATATATCAATTGCCAACTTGAATTACACTTCGAACTCTGGATTATTCATCCACTTTCTACTATGAAATCTAATAACGCAGTAACTTAAGCTATATTATATACTTAATAAAGGACGTTGTTATTGTTGGCAGTAACTTAACCTATATTATATACTTAATAAAGGACGTTGTTATTGTTGGCAGTAACTTAAACTATATTATATACTTAATAAAGGACGTTGTCATTGTTGGCAGTAACCTTAAACTATATTATATACTTAATAAAGGACGTTGTCATTGTTGGCAGTACCTTAAACTATATTATATACTTAATAAAGGACGTTGTTATTGTTGGCAGTAACTTAACCTATATTATATACTTAATAAAGGACGTTGTTATTGTTGGCAGTAACTTAAACTATATTATATACTTAATAAAGGACGTTATCATTGTTGGCAGTAACCTTAAACTATATTATATACTTAATAAAGGACGTTGTCATTGTTGGCGGTAACTTAAACTATATTATATACTTAATAAAGGACGTTGTTATTATTAGCAGTAACTTAAGCTATATTATATACTTAATAAAGGACGTTGTTATTATTAGCAGTAACTTAAACTATATTATATACTTAACAAAGGGCGTTGTTATTGTTGGCAGTAACTTAAACTATATTATATACTTAATAAAGGGCGTTGTTATTGTTGGCAGTAACCTTAAACTATATTATATACTTAACAAAGGACGTTGTTATTGTTGCCATTAATCTTAACCTACATTATATACTTAATAAAGTACGTTGTTGTTGTTGTTCTTGGTTTAGCATAAACTTCACAACGGGCTATATGCGCTATATCCACCGAGGGGATTAGAACCCCGGATTTTAGTATTGTACGTCTGTAAATTTACCGCTGATCCACTCAAATAATTAATTAATTGGAGTCTATTTTATACACGTGCACCAGGCAGTTAAAATAAATTCAGAAAAATCAATGTTGGTCAAGTTTTCGGGGATGGTGTGAACAAGGAACATCATTTTAAAAGATTCGTCTGAGGTTTAGTAAAGGTCTCAGTATTTAAAGTCGCTTAAACATTGGCTCATAAATGGTAGTCAATTATCTCAAAGAAAAAAAAAACTCCTTTATGTATAGGGAGAAGAATGATAAACGTAGTCGGTTTAACTGACACCATACTAACGACTCAGATCAATAAAACTGGTGAGAAAATTAACTTGGAATATCAACATACTTGTTCACATTATTATAGGCGGATGCGATTGCAGGCATTAAAGTTTATAATTAACTGGAAGTGTTTATGCTTTGAAAAACGAGACTAAATGATATAAATAAATAAACTTATATCTGGTTAATTACACATAAAATGTGACGCCTTTGAAACAAAACTAACCTGGAAATATTGATTTTAATGTTTTACGTACCAACCAGCGTGCTTCGATTCAATAAATTTTTCATGACAGAAAATTACAGCTGTCGCAAACTTCAATTTCCTCGTCTTTCGCTACTATTAATTTAACCACGTGACATTTTCGTGACTAGTTCCACCTATAACCCCCCGTCTGTTATAAAGCCGAAAGCCAAATCCGTATTACAGAGACGTATAATTTAAATGTCCCCCAGTTCTAACAAGTTCCTTTGGTAGATGGAAACATTAGCTTTTTTTTTTTAATCTGTAATTAAAGATGTATTTGTTTTCATTATTGGGTTATTTTTATTTGTGATTAAAATAGTTCTAAGCTTTACTTTAGTATCGATACTACACACGCTTACTTGCACATCACGGAATCCTTACCAAATTGTAGGATTTGAACATCACTCTTACAGCGCACTAACTTCTCAAAATGCGAATAGCGGGTTTTGCGGGAACGGGACGCGAACCACAAATCATTGAGCCATATCCGGTCATGTGATGGATTGGGATTTACGTAGGCTAACAAAGAAACTTTTATTGGATATAGTGTGACTGAAATGAGATACTTGTTTGTTTTTAATTATGCACAAAGCTACACAAGGGCTATCTGTGATCTGCCCACCACGGGTATCGAAACCCGGTTTCTAGCGTTGTAAGTCCGCAGACATACCGCTGTGCCACTGGGGGGGGGGAAATGAGATAGATTTGCACATGTAAATTTAGTGCACCCAAAACTTGGCCAGGTGTTGTTCTTGAATTTTTTACTTTTCTTTTCATTATTCCTCGAATCCCGTCACCGAGCATGTTCACCGTTTCAGCGGTGGGGGGAACGTTACAATTTAACGACCAGTCTCATTATTCGTTGATAAAGAGTAGCCCAAGCGCTGGCGGCGGGTGGTTTTCACTAGTTGCCTTTCCTCTAGTCTATTAACTCCAAATTAGAGACGGAAAGTGTATATAGTCCTCGAGTAGCTGTCTGCTAAATTCAACAAACAAACATATTTTCAAAAGTAGCCCAATATTTGGCGGTGGGTGCTGTTGACTAGTTACCTTCCCTCATTTCAAGTACAGGTAGCCTTTTGTGTATCTTTGCGTAAAAAATTTCTAAATACCAATCCATCACACTGTTTTATTTATGTTCTATTTCCGTAGAAGTAGAAATAAAATTACGCAAAGCGCAAAATGACCATAGGATAATCGCATACTCACTTCTACAACATAATTATTGAGATTGTTCCAAAGATTACCGTTAAAACGTAAAGCAACCCGTGCCATTCCTACACATCAATTTCACTCTGCCAAATGGCTTACACGAAACATATATATATTAGGAATCTACGTGGACAGAGCTGCGGCTTCCCCGCCCTTTCTCTCCCTTCTTCAATCGAGTGAATTCACGTTGAGGTTAGAGAAGGCGTTGCGCGTGCAGGATGGAAGCTAAGATCGATTTTTGTTCTGTGTCACATTGGACAAGAGCAACCAGAGAGCTACTGGCGTCAACGCCAAGGTTTATAGAAGCGTTTTTATTTTACTCTGATATCACTTATTTGCAGCTAAGTAGCATCAATTGTAAGAAATTCCGCTGTCTTGTACAGATAGAAACGACAGAACGTTGCAAAGCAGTGAGCGGCATTGAACAACTCAGAACTACAGTTTCTAGGTTAGTTTAATCTTTTCTCAGTCAACAACTTGCTGCGCTGGGCAACAAAGAAGACGATCAATACGTGGTAAGGAAAACCAGTATGTTTCTATTAACTCGTATACTTTTATGCCTTACCTAAATTCGTAAAATTCTGAAGCGTCTAAAACATACCTTTTTTTTATATACAATTTAACGCATTTCGAAACGTTGAGTGATTTATTTTCTACTTTATTTCAACTTGAGAAGGGGAGCATTAGTGGGTTTTTATTTTTTATTTCTATTATACCATATTATAATCAAATTAATGACATTTTTATGTTAGACTTCTGTGTTTGTTAATAAACGTTAGCAGATAAAGAAGATTGTAACGTATGTTGGTCCTATAACCATCTCTCGAAAGGTGAAGGCAAATAAGCGGATGTGTCTTTCATTATTCTTTGTAACATACAGAAAAATCCTAAGTCGAATATAAATTTACTTGCTTTCCGTAATAATCCTTTTGTGTACAGAGGGCGACAGAACGAAGAAAAAAAAAGTCACTTTTGTTTTTTCTGTATTTCTTTATTTTGTTTTAACCCGAAAAATGGCTACTTTCCGAAAACACCAAAAAAAAAAAACTTCGGCTCGACTATAGTATATATCACTGAGTTCCTAATGTTGTGGGACTTAACGACTTTGAATTTGGTGGCAGGGTATCAATTTCATCGTTTGAGATCTTAATTAAATCTTGAATTTGAATATCTTTTGTTATTTTTCCAATCTTGGAAAAGGCAACGAGAAACAAGTTAAACCCAACTCCAGAAAGACATAACATTTTTCAGACTATCGTATTAGTATAACCACTCAACGTTGAGTGTTAGTGGACATACATCGCAGTAAATAGTTTTATTACGTAATCACGCCACCCATAAAATTATGTCTCTAACAAGGTAGCCACCGTCCTCACGTGCACTAATTTTTATTGACATTTTACGAATGTTTTAGTGGTAAATTTATGGCTGTTTTAGTGTTTCATACTCTGCTCGTTAAACAGTAGTACTTCTTTCGCTGCTAATTTGTCCGAGTCACCTGTTTATTTATAATTCTATTGTATTCTCCGTCTCACTTAATAAAACCTTTTTTTGATATCTCTATTTATAGTTGTCAACTAAATTCCAACGAGTCTCACGAAGCTCCACGGCCGCCGTATTCATCAAACTGGTTTACAACAAAGGTCTGTAGTTCGTTTTAACTGAAGAGAAAAGACCTTTCTTTCCAAATATTTCCATTTCGTGATAGGAAGTAGATTCTTATCGAACACAGTTGGTGGTATCCTGCAGGATATGCCTCTTTCTCTACATATTCTAGTTTGGTGAGAGATGAAGTCGTTTAAAAATATTCCGTTCTTTCTGTGTAGTAATTCCTCAAAGCTGATAGGGATCTGGGTCTTGCTAGCTTCTGTCGGTACATCTGGGGTACAGGTTGAAGAAAGTAGCTCGAGCTTTCAGAAATGTGAAGAAATAACAATCCCCATGTGTAAAAACGTAGGATACAACTATACGTCTATGCCTAACCAGTTCTATCACGAAACCCAAGAGGAGGCTGGCCTGGAGGCTCACCAGTTCTGGCCTTTGGTTGAAATTCAATGCTCTGGAGATCTGCTGTTCTTCCTTTGTTCAGTTTATACTCCCATTTGCATGCCGGATTATTCTGGTTCTATCCCATCATGTCGATCAGTCTGTGAACGCGCTCGAACTGGATGTGCACCAATTATGCAACAGTACGGGTTCACTTGGCCCGATAGGCTTCACTGTTACAATTTTCCCGAGTATGGTGATCCTGGTAATCTCTGTATGGATGAACAAGAAGGAAAAAAACCAAACCGTCCAATTTTTCCAGGTGAAAATAAAAACCCACTCGAAATTTCTGAGACCTCCAAATATAACACCACTCTACAGCTAAATGAACATCCTACCTTTGACAAAGACTTTGAAATTCCACTTACCACATACGGTCCTCATTTTGATCCCAAGTGTGGATGCAGGTGCCGCTACCCTATGATAAGCGTAACGGAAAATGAGAATAAAAAATACTATAACAAGGTAGAAACAGGTGGTGTTGTGAATTGTGCAATAGCTTGTCATGGCAATTTTTATTCTATAGATGAGCATAAGTTTGCCAACCTTTGGCTAGGACTATGGTCAGTATTATGTTGTGTGTCCACTAGTATCACAGTTATAACTTTTCTGATTGATGTAGGCCGTTTCCGATATCCTGAGCGTCCAATAATCTTTCTGTCAGCATGTTACCTTATGGTGTCCATTGGCTACATGATTCGTCTTGGAGCAGGTCATGAGGCAGTGGCCTGTGATGGCCCTATCATTGTTTACTCAAGCTCCGAACGATCCGCCACGTGCATCTTTGTATTCATTCTGACCTACTTTTTTGGCATGGCTAGCTCCCTCTGGTGGGTTATGCTAGCACTAACATGGCTTCTAGCTGCAGGGCTCAAGTGGGGAAACGAAGCAATATCTCGATATTCTTCATATTTTCACGTTGCTGCCTGGACAGTGCCAGCTGTTAAAACAATTTCTGTTCTAGCCCTGGATGGAATAGATGGAGACCCAGTAGCTGGTATTTGTTATGTAGGGAACCAAGAACTCACTTTTCTGCGAGGTTTCGTATTAGCACCTCTCTGCGTGTATCTTGTTTTGGGCACTTGTTTCTTGTTGGCTGGATTCGTAGAGCTCTTTCGAATCCGAAGTGTCATACGACAACAAGCCGAAGATAAAGTAGACAAACTGGAGAAGCTAATGATTCGAATTGGTGTGTTTTCGGTTCTGTACACGGTTCCAGCCACAGTGGTCATTGGATGTTACCTTTATGAACAACACTTCCGGGAAGCCTGGGAACAAAGACATAACTGTCCTTGTAATGCAACTGACGTTCGACCAGATTATTCGATCTTCATGCTCAAGTACTTCATGTGTCTGGTGGTCGGGATTACATCCGGGTTCTGGATATGGTCCGGAAAAACTCTGGATTCCTGGAGGAACTTTCTAAGAAAGCTGTGTCGAATGAAGGTCCAGGAGAGGCAGACTTTCAGACAAGAAAATCTTCCTAATCAACTTGAACAGGACATATCTATCGGCGTTAAGCAGGGTCCAGTTGTGAATGTGTGATGAATCAATGTGAATATCTTGAAAGTTGTGAAGGTTCTTGTTAAACTTCTGGTGCTTGAATATTTTACGTTTTCATGAATGCAGAATAAAAGAAAAGTGTTTCCTTTTTTTTTTATATAAATCCTGCACTTGAATTATAACTATTGTGTCTCTCTTGCCTAAGGCAAAATATCAGTTACTGTATTAACTTCAACGTTTAATATGTGATTTTTTGATTTTTCGTGTAGTGTGTGTGTTTTATCTGGATTAAATCCTACTATGATACTTGTGTTAGTCAAGAACTACGAACGTTTGAATGCCTAGCAAACACTACTTTAAACTTTTTCATAGGTTTGAAATATTATTTACTAGGAAATGTACTTTCGTCTTCTGTACAGTGTCGTTAGTGTTTAAGTATTGGTTTTCTTATTATGTGTTTTCGAAGAGGTCCGAGCTTCGCTTGTGCACAAAGTAACTGTAATTATTCATTGTGGGTTCTAATATTCACATTTTAGCAAGAAACCTATGATACGTGTAGTAGCTTCACTGTCTTTTGTTATACAATCATAATATACGTACTTTTAAAAAAAATCAAATGTTGTTGCAGTGTTGGTAATCGTCGTAAAAGTATCCATAATTTCTTGATTCTATTTCTAAAGAATAATTAATATTTTTAAGATAAAGCTTACGAATTCCGACATATTTGTTATCATATACTAAAAAAACAAACAAAAAAAACAATTTCCTAGTAGTTTTAATGGTAGTACGAAGGTAAATTACCATTGGTGAACTATTATTTGTAGTTGGGAAGTTAACGAGAGAGTTTTTAGTTTAAGCTAAACTTTCTAATAATGTTAGTTAATATTTGTATGGTAAAGCTTGTAATGTACTTTGTGAATGCACGCGACAATTGTTCTGAATATTAAACATATGGGAAAATGTCGTATTTTGTGGTCCTTGAAATTCAGTAACGTATACACGAAAGTACACAGATAAGAGATAAGACATTCACTATCATAATGGTCCATTAATCTAAAGTTATTTTCTTAAAACAACAAAGCCTTCACCAAACCGCCTAAAAATCATTATCTTGTATGTGGTTTTTATACGAGATACGTTACAGTTTCCAATTTAAATTTATCTTTCGTGACTTTTAAATCTTTTATATGACGTATAAAGCTGGAAGGGGATAAGTCATAAAAATCTAAACGGAAACAATATAACTAACAAACTGTATTTTATCTGCATGATTTATGGTATTCCATTTAATACTCGTGATTTATTTTCAAAATTCCTGAAAGCAAACGAATCCGACCAAAACGTTTTTTATTTTATCTTTTTATATCACCATATAAATGTCATACAATCCATATAAACAGATAAAATAAAACCGTTCTTATATATATGTTTACTAGCCCGGCATGGCCAGGTGGATAAGGCGCTCAACTCGCAATCTGAGGGTCGCGGGTTCGAATCCCCGTCCCACCAAACATGCTCGCCCTTTCAGCCGTGGGGCGTTATAATGTGACGGTCAATCCCACTATTCGTTGGTAAAAGAGTAGCCCAAGAGTTGGCGTGGGTGGTGATGACTAGCTGCCTTTCCTCTAGCCTTACACTGCTAAATTAGGGACGGCTAGCGCAGATAGCCCTCGTGTAGCTTTGCGCGAAATTAAGAAAAAACAAACAATATGTTTACTCGCGGAATTCCACTACAAAAACAAATCATTACAATAATTTTAGAAAAATAGTTTAATTGTATGAATACTTGAAGTAAAATTGGAAAATGGGTTACATTTCTGGATTTTTTTGGTTTTAAGAGCAAAACTATACAATGAGGTAGTTGTGCTGTGGCCGCTGGAAAGATCAAAGCCCAAATTTTAGCGTTATAAGTCCTTAAGCTTACCGCTGAGCTATCAGATAGCTTTTTTTTTTCACTTTTTCGTTTGTTTTGATGTTAATTGCAAAAGCTGCAAAACATATGCAGTGTGCCCGTGCAGGAATCTAACCATGAATTATAACGTTATAAGCTCTAAAGGTTACCGCTGAGTCTCCAACGTGACATTTTTTAGATTGTTTTTTTTGTTTGCTTTGTTGCTAAGTGCAAAGCTGCACAATGGGTATATGCCAGTGCAGGAATTTAATCCAAAATTTTAGCGTTATACGCTCTCAAGCTTTTCACTGAATTTTGTTGTTAGTATGAATGAATCTGCTGTAATCTCTCCGACATTTTCATTTCGATCGTTGAGTTATTTAGTAGATGAGAGACACACAAGCGGAAGTTACGTATAAATAGGGGACACACAAGCGGAAGTTACGTATAAATAGGGGACACACAAGCGGAAGTTACGTATAAATAGGACTTGTGTGTCCCCTATTTATACGTAACTTCCGCTTGTGTGTCTCCTATTTATACGTAACTTCCGCTTGTGTGTCCCCTATTTATACGTAACTTCCGCTTGTGTGTCCCCTATTTATACGTAACTTCCGCTCGTGTGTCCGGAGGTTACGTATAAATAGGAGACACACAAAACAATTTTGTTTCCATTCTTACGTTTCACAAGCCCAGTAGTTAGGGCACTCGACACGTAATTTGTGAGTTACGGGTTTGAATCCCGTCATCGAACGTGCTCGCTTATCACTATAAAGTTGTGGACGGCTAGCACAGATAGCCTCGACTAGTTTTGCGAGAAATTTAACAAAGAAAGAAACTTACGTTTCATAAATGCATTAGTTTAAATTGGGTATCTCTTCTGCTACTTTGTTTATGGCGAATAGCTCACAAGCAAAGAAATAAATACAGCTTCTTTAGGTTTTCTGAAAAGCATTAGAGTTTTGATAATTATTCATCCCTTGAAGCCGACATCGTTTTTCTTAATCCTGCTGAGACTACACTATTTACAAATCTTTACTTCGTTCTATACTTACATACTGTTCGTTCACTGTTCATTCCTTAAAAACTAAGTTACTCTGGAAGTGTAAGTTTGGAAACGTTAACCGCCGTATATCTTATATATATTGTGAACCGTGGTGTCTGTCCGAGCGTTCGTTTGTCTTCCGTTTGAAAAGCTGCGCACGCAGGCAAAGCTCAACATTCACCTTTGGAATGACGGGAGAAGAGGCATGAATAATGTTGATGCCAACTTTTATTTCTTAAGCAGGATATTCTACACTAAATTGTTAGCAGTTAATCACACTATTATTCACATTTCAAAATGTGACGTAATTTAAACAATAAAAATGTAGATATACCGTGTGTTATTGTTGAGTGGATCTTAGCATGACTGAAACGCTTAACAATTACTTTTCACAGTGGGCGGTATAAGTAGCTTAGAGCTTTGGCTCTGAGTGAAACCAAGAGTGTAACACAATTAGAATTTGTAAAGTCTGTGAAATAATTTGAATTAATAGATTAACTTTGAAACAGACTAACAGGTACTTTTGTATGTGATTTATATTAATAGATTAACTTTGAAACAGACTAACAGGTACTTTTGGGTGTGATTTATATTAATAGATTAACTTTGAAACAGACTAACAGGTACTTTTGGGTGTGATTTATATTAATAGATTAACTTTGAAACAGACTAACAGGTACTTTTACGTATGGTTTAAATTAATAGATTAACTTTGAAGCAAACTAACAGGTACTATTGGGCGTGATTTATATTAATAGATTAACTTTGAAACAGACTAACAGGTACTTTTGGGTGTGATTTATATTAAGTGAGAGAGTGGCCAGTCAAATGTGGAGAACAGTTTTCCGTCAAATATTATCAGAGAGAGTAGCCAGTAAAAGCTGGAGAACAGTTTCCGTCAAATATTACCAGAGAGAGTGGCCATTAAAAGGTGGAGAACCGTTTTCCGTCAAATATTATCATAGAGAGTGGCCAGTCAAATGTGAAAAACCGTTTTCCGTCAAATATTATCATAGAGAGTGGCCAGTCAAATGTGAAATACCGTTTTCCGTCAAATATTATCAGAGAGAGTGGCCAGTCAAATGTGGAGAACCGTTTTCCGTCAAATATTATCAGAGAGAGTGGCCATTAAAAGGTGGAGAACCGTTTTCCGTCAAATATTATCAGAGAGAGTGGCCAGTCAAATGTGGAGAACCGTTTTACGTCAAATATTATCAGAGAGAGTGGCCAGTAAAAGGTGGAGAACCGTTTTCCGTCAAATATTATCAGAGAGAGTAGCCAGTAAAAGTTGGAGAACAGTTTTCCGTCAAATATTATCAGAATGACAAAACGTAATTTATACCAATATATACGATGTTATCTGTAAAATACAATAGTTTGTTTAGAACTACTTGATCTGGATCAATAATGGCTGGAGACGGCTTGAATGGGTAATGAAGAAAAACTTTAATATAAGTTTAACATAACAGCAAATGTACAACGTTTCGACAAGGTTTTGTCATCATCAGGTACTGGATCAGCTTTTTTTAAACTAAGAAGTAAAAGGGTATAACATTTAAAGTTTTAATCCAGTTTTCATTTCAGTTTGTACAGTATATCTAGACTATTATTTGTGTGTGTGTATGTGTGTATCCGCTTGTGACTGGCGAACCGCTGGAACTATCGTCACCGAAATTAGCACGGAATCTCCAGACCTACGGGGAATGACATAGAGAGTCGATGTTCGAATCTGACCCTTCTATATCGTCTTCCCCGTATTTTATTATGCCTACTTATAACTGGCGAAAATACCGAACTGTTTGTCATCAAACCTATAGGGCAACATGGGGGTCAACGCTCGGATCTAACCCCCTATGTCACATCCCCAGTTGACCTTATGTCTTCCCCGTGCGTTGAGCGGCTACCTTAGATAGTTACATATATACGACATCAAAAAAGCGACTTTATTTTGTAGTTAATGAACCCTAAAACTCTTTAATTAAAACTAGATATTGGTTAACTACTGTTAATTTATAATTAACGAGTACATATTGGTTAACTACTGTTAATCTATAATTAACGAGTAGATATTGGTTAATATATCTATATACTACTAAAACTCTGAGATTGTTTGTTTGCTAGTCTGTAATTAAATACAGCAAAAACGGCGCACAATAGCGCCAAATTGGTAATGAAATGAGAATAGAAACGGAATAAAACAAGTTTCGTTAAAATCGGGCCACGGGTTTACCGAGTTAGCCCCGTTTTTCAGGTCACTTTATGAAAATTTCTAGATGAATTTAGGTACACTAGATGGCGCCACATATCGGTTTATCTATCTATCTATTCGTTTTCCA